TTAAATCCATGTCCAAGCGATATTACATAGATATGTGTTTTATTTATTTAAGAAAAATAATATAAATTTAGCAAAAGATGTCTGGGTTGAGACAAAATAAGTCACGTTGGCTTTATGGCTTTTCAGGTCAACAGTAATGCTAACTGTCCAGCTATTTTTTTTATTTTTTTGCTAAGTAAATTATATCGTTGGTGCCACGAGTTTGCTAAACTAGCTATTAGCTGCTCTGCTCCTTTTTTACGTTAGTCCATATTTTATTCGGGTTGAGTATGTCTAACACAGTTTGGTTCATTTTCAATTAGGCCTCACGACTCTGAAGTGTTGGAACCGCAAGCGGGGGCTAATAGTCCAGGTAGTTTCATAGTTAACACTGAATTTGGCGCGAGTGATGTCTCTCCCTCGTGCCCAGCACAATACCTCCACTGTAAACCGTGCTTGACTCCTCCATTAACCGTTGCTAATGCTAATGGAAAAGCCGAAAAATAAGCGAGGCAATTTAATAAACTGTTATAGTTGTTACAAAAGGACAGGGTGTTTAGCAACTGTCTAACCTAGATAAGAGTCCAACGAAGTCAAGTTACTTTGTGCCCAAGCCATTAATGTGTAAACTTTAATTGTGTTCTATAAAAACCATGTAATGTAAGCTGCTCCTTGTGATGCAGTTGGTACGTTTCACAAATTGAAAGGATTCCAGTACTAAAGATGAATGACTGAGGAATTATGTCCTGCAGGAACCATGTTGATTAAAACAAGACTTGGCGAGCTGCAAAAATTTGTCCGACTAACAGAGCCGAATCTGAAGGAGTTTTTGATAGCAGGTAAGACACTGGTAGTTGTACACAGGAAGCTATGAAGTGCTTGTAATGTTACTTCACATTGTTTATTCAAAAGTAATGTCCCAGAGTCTATGCACATGTGAATATTAGAGCAACATAACTTCATAATTGTGGTTTAGACAAGCATTTGTCTTTTTCTCTAGCATTCACAAAATTTGGCGTGCCAGCTATAACAGAGGGCGTGAAGGTTGTTGACAGTTCTGGAACCGAGTTGGATGAAGATGTATTTGAGGATGTTGTTAAGGATCCCTCTGCTGGAGTCCTAACCATCAAATATGAAACCGGTTTGTTATATTAGTAATTCATGTTAGTATTTAATAAGCTTGCTATTTCATAGTGGTTAATGTTTTTGTCTTTCATCTGCTTCTCTTATGTTCAGAATTTGTTTCCATGGTGGAATCGCCTGAGGAATCTCAACCAAGCTCATCTGATTCTCAAGAGACACTCATTCTTTCAGAGAGTCCTTCCGCTAAACGCCAGCGCCTGGACACAGAAGCTAAGCATGTAAGAATTGACTTGCGCAAAACAAAAAGTATATTGTTTTAAAAGCCTTTATCACCATTTCCCCCAGAAAACCTGCTATGCTCAGTAGGGGTGCTAGAACAGTTTTTGTGTTAAATGTTAAAAGTTACAAAAAATCAGAGGTGCAATAACAAATCTCTGCACCTGTCAAGGGACAGGTGCAGAGATTTGTCAATTGGTTTGCACATCCTCTGACCAAGTTCAGTGCGTCAAACCTACCTTTGTTCATTTGTACTGTTACTAGGGCATAAAAAAACCCTACTTATAATGAACAAACAAGTAAAATAAACAAATAAATGTTGGTGGTCCACCAGTCTTATAATACACGCTGCTTTATTATCGCTTATATTTGAGAAGAGAATGTTTTTTTGTTTTACTAACAATTACTGTTTTGATATGTATTTAATAAAAGCTGAAATGTTTTGTTGTTTGAAGTTGGTGGAATCCATTCTTAACAACAAACCTGGAGGCGAACGGATCATGAAGGAATATAATCGAAGCAAGTGCCTTACAGATGAAACCAGAAGGAAAATGGTTAACATACTGGCAGCTGATATGACGGAGAAGAATGGGTAATTTTGTAAATGGGCTTTAGTTAGCTGTCTAGATGAAATAAAAGTTTTTGTTAAATCCAGTGCATACCTTGGATAATATACCTTGTCCATTTTAATTTTGCAGGACATCACCACCCAGAGAGGTTAAAGAAATGTATGCCAGAGGAATTGTGAGCTTATTCCCCTACCTCAGTGATCCATTCTCCAGGAATGGTTATGTAAGTCACATACTATAATTGACTGTGTTCGGTAATCACAATAACACATTGAAAACTTTTAGTTTTTAATCGGATTATATGTTTAACTGATGCAGTTGCTTTGAAAATGATTTTCCTTAGGTTGCAATTGTGAAATTGCTGCGGATATATTTTTTTCATATTTCACCAGTGTTTTTTATATAAACCTTTTAAAAATATAACCAATAATGCTATAAACAGTTTAAAATCATAAATCCATTTGTGGACATTACCTTTACCAAGTTATATTTAAATTCTGAGATGTCTGCTCTCAGCAGATTTACTGGTTGTATCAGTCAAAATCATGTGATCTGACATTTTATTGCCATTTGATTTTCTGATTCAGTGCTTGTAGTGGCAACTGTTTGGTTTGCATAGAAATTCTTCATCAGCTTTTAGCTATAATTCTGATGTTCTTCTTTCTATGTCTGTCTGTTTTTGCAATCCTTTTGATCCTCAAGGAGCATTATTATGATGCTGCAAGTGGTACCGGGTACTTAGCCTGGAGGATAAAAACTATTCAGAGATCCACTGCTAGAGACAGACGATCATCATATGGAGGTA